GCGGCGGACGTTCCACGTCCTGGGAATTCGCGGGCGGGCGCCGGCCTGCGGGGGCTTGCCGAGGAGGGAGAGAGCGCGGGAGGCGCGGAGGCTTTGCCTGCGCTGGAGGAAGGGGAAGGAGGCGCGGGAGGAGGAAGCGGCCGAGTCGGGGGCTGTTTGAAGAACTGGGAGAACCTGCGTCTGCTCTTAAAGGCGCCCAGTTAGGGCGCTGAGTCTGAGCAGCGGAGAGCCCGCTTTGGAGACCCCTTCGGAGAACTCGGCCCTGGCTTCGCCCCGGATTCCCAGCAGGACCCAGAACGGACTGGGTGTCGGAGCTGGCAAAGACCAACTCCCAGCCCGGCGCCTAACACCTGAGAAAAGTGAAGCTCCCCGAGGATCCGCCGCGCACAGGGTCGGGCACGCCACCCACCCAGGCGCGGGCCCGGGGCGCGCAGGCCCCCAATCCCAGTTCCCGCGGCCGGCCAGGGCCCCGACTCCCTCCTTCCCGCCGAGCGGCGAGCCAGGCTAGGGGCCCGCGGGCCGCGCCGACCACCCAGTGTGGAGATTTCCAACTTCCTTTGGCCCAGAATCGGTTCCTGGAAGGTCTGATTGACGGCCCTGAACAGCAACGACGCTGCTTCCCCGGTCCTGTGCTCAAATAAACGAACCCCTGGAATTCAACGTGTATTTCACAGCCTGGTCCTGAAGCCCAGAACCCTTATTCTGTGTTTATAGCTCCAAAAAGAAACCAGCGAACTAGGTGAACTGGTTTGAATAAAGGCGAACCTGCTCTTGGAAAGTGAGAGTTGGATGTTTTTCCCTCTGACATTTGTGAATGTCAGCAGTCACGAAAACCACCATTTACTATGTGGAAGGGTTATAACCTGCAGCAGCCATTGCCCGGCAGGTGCTTCAGGGCTGGGGACTTTGTTTCCCTCTATTTCTATCCTATTTGATATCTACAATAATAACCCCTCACTTCAGCACATCATTAAGACGCTTTCTCAGCGGTTTATTTGATCTTTGTTTTAGATAGGACATAGCCCCCCATTTACATTTGAGGAAAAAAGGTAAAGTGACTTGCCCAGCACAAAAGCACCTGAACTCAGCTCCACGCATCCAAGTCAGTGACTAATCCGGTGATGTCTCCACCCAAACAGGAGGCCCTGGCCTCCAGCAGGACTTAATTCCCATTCATGAATATTGAGAGTACACTGTGAGTTGCCTATCCATGAACATTCCAAAACTTGGTTCTTCTGGGATTTGGTGGGATTTTTTTGACCAAGAATTAAAGAAATAGATGCAGAAACATATATTATTGCACTTACCATCTATTTAACACCTTCCTGTGCAAGGTCTTTGAATTCTTGGGTTCAAATTGCTTAATCTCTCTTCCTCTCAAATTCTCATCTACACATACAAAAATGTGAAGATAGTAGCAGAGAGATAAGGTCAAAAGTACCTATTCCACACAATAATGAAATGTGTTTCTCTTTGCAACTAACAAAGTTTAAAATAGGAAAAAATGAACTCTTAAAAGAGATTTTGTTGTGGGGCTTTAAAAAGATCAGATCCTATTCCAACACGGTTCACTTACTCTACCTTCAACATTTCAGCAAACCCATGTTCTAAGAACTGCTGTTTAATATGAAAGACACCTGGTATCACACAAAGTAAGAATGGATTTACCCAATCCTCATCAGAATATAACGGGACTTGACCAGCATTTCTTTTTCTTTCCCCCATTAACCCACTTATAAAGAATAATAGGGTTCTAATGAGGATTAGTAAGATTTAATAAGGTATAATTAGAGTCATTCATTTCCTCCATCATACACATTATAAGAGTGCTATGCAGGATCCAGAAATGCTACTAATTATGTTGAAACTGTTATATGGCTGTGTTGGGGAAGATCCCTGTGTTTCTCCTCCTGAAATATTTATGAATTGCTCAGGTGGGCATGGTGTTAGTATAAGCAGTATATAAAGTTAATCACAAAAGATGATTTCAACTCATGAAGCACTCACCATGAGTATAAGAGGTAAAGTCGTAAATTGGATGCTTGGCAAGCCACATGCAGTGTTGTCATCAATGCAAGCTCAAATCAAAAGCCTCATTGTCATTTGCTGATCTGGTTTCTTTTGTATTCTCATTTTTCTCAACATCCCTATTAAAACCTGCTGTGTACAGGGGCTTGGGTAAAAAGGGAAGGTTGTGTGAATTTGCAGACTTCAATGCTAGAGAAGTAGAGATTTACAAATTGGGAGACTAAAAGAAGCGCAGAATTTCAGGTGGGGCAGAGGTCATGTGATCCGAGGATTGCACAGTGGTGGCCTAAAGGCCTACAAAGCAAAGTCCAGTGATGGCACACAAGACTTTGAGGAAGGCCTGGCTGTGGTCCCACCATTCCCTTGTGTCCATTATAATGCCTTACCCAAAGGCCTTGTATAGCTCATGTCAGTCTTTTCTTTGTGCTTATGATATGTCAGGAAATATTCTAAAGATTTTTCATATGCTTTTCATTTAACCCTCACAAAGCCCTTCTGAGGTTGGCATTATCATTTTCTCTATTTTGTCCATAAGGAAAGTAAAGCCCAGAAAGGTTAAGTAGCTTGCTCTTAAGACAGAGCTAGTAAATGGGTAAGCTGAGATTCCCCCTGAGCCCCTGCAGCCTGGCGCTTTGCTCACTCACTGCTGAGCGACCATCTGGTTTCATTTGGAAAACTCCAATGTGCAGAACTCATAACTTCCAACAGCTGACCAAGAGGAAAAGCTATGAAGAGGCTACTGGAGAAATAATGATAAGAGAGGCATGGAAGATAAATACCAACCTGATGTTGCCTCTCCACACTTAACTCCTTCAGGCCAAATTCCTTCATGTGCTTTGCGCAGCCCTTGAGGTATTTCTGCCAGTCCTTCACATGCACTCACCCTCCAGCCAACTGAAGTTCTAGTGGTTTCCCAGACATATCTTACCTGTTCGTGCTTATCTGCTTTACACAGGTTCTTCTTTCTCCCAGGAGCCCTTTTTCTTCTCCCTCCATCCAGCAACCTTTACCTAACCTCTTCTGGCTTCCCTTGACTATTGCCTCCTTTGAGAGGCCTTCTAGGCCCTACTGCCACCTCCAGTGGACACATTGCCTCTACAGAGTGCTCCTATTACTTTGCTTACCTCAACCCACGTGACTGAATAGTGTCGTTGGGCACCTTGTCTTTCTCTGCTACTGGACTGAGAGGGTCATTTGCCTCTGAGTCCTTAACACAGTGTTTGCCTTGACCATTGCAGGCCTTCAACTGTTTCTGCTACTGCTTCTTCTCCTCCTCCTTCCTGTCGAAGGCAGAGGAAGGTGCAGAAGGTATAAGGCCTGGGCATTTAAATAAAATCACATAACTTCTTCAAGAGATGAGACCTGGATGTAATAAGACCAGTGGGAAGGGGCAAGAAGAGTCAGAGGAGCCCAACCATCTAAAATTAGAACCAGGATTGGCATGGGGAGACAGCCCTAAAACTGCTGCGTAAACTCATGGCAAGTCACCTCCTCCCTGGTCTTAGTTTCTTTATCCAGACAATTAGGTTCTTAGATTTTATGTTCTCCAGCACTCTCCCAGCTCTTTGAATTGATGCTACTTTTAACCTGTTGACCAAATTCATCTTCCCAAAAGATAGCATGCCAAATTATGCTTTGTTCTGGCCCTTCTCACATTTATAAATTCTGCTATATGAGTAGACACAAAATTAAAGCAATGGTTCTTTTGCAGCTTTATATTAAATAAATTCTTTTTAAAAAATACCCAAGGCTATTTTTTTTTTAAATGTGTCTTTATTGATTTCAGTGAGAGGAAGGAAGACGGAGGGAGAGACATAGAAACATCAATGATGAGAGAGTCGTTATTGATCGGTTGCCTCCTGCATGCCTCCAGCTGGAGATCGAGCCAGCAACCCGGGCATGTGCCCTGACTGGGAATCAGACCATGACCTCCTGGATCCTAGGTCAATGCTTAACTACTGAGCCACACCCGGCTGGGCCTAAGGCTATTTTTTACAGGAAGAACTGAGCACAAATGACAGTTTTAAAATTTGATATACTCTGCTCTATAGTTGAGCATATTTCTCTTCCCAAGTCTATTGTACTAGCATGTGATGCAAACATGACCTCTGGCCTAGTCAGATAAGCATCAGCCCTTGGTAAAAAGATGAAAACTTGATATGGTAAACAGTAGTGGTAGACTTTTAGAAAATGCAGCATTAAAGATAATGAAGCAGTTTGCAAAAGGCGTGTTTACTCTCTATTCTGCACACCTCATTGTGCCATGGGAAAAAAATGATCTCAATGCAAAAAAGAATACATCATCACACTTCCCAAATGAATATTTTCTCTGTTTTTTGAATACTAAGTCTTTTCTTGAGGGGAAAATGATGTTACAAGCTACTTTATCAATTTAGAAGAATCAAGCCGATGTGAGGACTTGTATATGCCTCTGAGTTTCTGCACAATTTTACCAAGTTTTTAAACCCACTTTTCAGCCAGTGACTGTAATGTAATCACTGTTTGCATTTTGCCACATCAAAGAATCAGATTATCTGAATGTATTTTGGCCTATTCCAACCCAGCCACCTGTGCAAGTCTGCTGACTTTTGATC